ATATATTTCCTGTACCCATTAAAGATATTCACCATCCACATCAAATTAATAGCTTCTTTTGCAGCGGAATTTGTTCTTCCCCATAAATAAATTTAATACGAAAATGAGGGGCAGAAACTGATAAATAAATTTAAAATTTTGCGGAACCGGATAAAATATATCAAATATTAAGAGAAAAATGGAACTGATCAAACTCACCGAAACAGTTTGATCATTTTCCTGCGAATCTATCACCCATTTCTCCGTTAGATTTGCATGCTGCTCCTTTGCCAACATCTCCGTTTGATTTATCCAGTCTCCAGTTAAAATATTCGCTTGCGGCACACTCTCATTTGTTGATGACAAATTCCGCTATAAAACTTTCATCCATTTGTAAAAATTGAAACAAATCTATGTAATGAATTAAAACTTACTAAAAAGACATGAAATTAATATTTATACTGCTGCATAAATATTTTTAATTCCATGTCTTTTTGTAAATCAGAAGCGATTTTTTAATAAGTGAATTTTAATTTTTTTACCTTTATCACCAAAATCAACTTTTTGTTGACCAAATTAACAACTAATTCTTAAATAAAAAATGCAAAAGTGATCATGATTTAATGAAAGTTTCATTATGCCAACCGCCAAATCATTTCTTCAAATCCGTCTAAAGCAAAAATGAACAGGTTATGTATTTCGCTTCATATGTTCACTAAAGCACCATAATCAAACATTCTTACCAGCACCATTGTCATGATTATTATTATCATCACAAAATTTAAAAAAAAGAAAAATTACCCTACCAGTTCACTGAGAAGATAACTAGCATACTGTGTCAGTTCGTTTGATATTGTCACTAAATTGCTGTCATAACCATCATTTACGTGCCTGCTGAAATTGTCCCCAAAATGTTACAAAAACAGCAGTGAAAATATGAAAATGTTAAAAAGTTTGCGTTTTTTTGATTTTTAATGAAAAAATTCTAAATTTGATTCGCTAACTACTAAAAGTTTGATAGATTAAGGGTTGAGTCACTTTCACATCGCTAATATTATGGCTGTCGTATTCGATACGAGTCATTTGTCGCGTTTGATAAATCAGATTTGCTACAGATAAAAAGAACAGCAAAAAAAGTCAGAATTTATCCGACCAGAGAGGAGATGATCGATCATTTTTGAAATCTTCTAATACTTCGCGTGCGATGGTTACAAAATCATCCATAGATTGCATGGCTTCTTCATCCGATGGTATATAAGATGTTTCAATCTAAAGAATTTATGAAAAGGAGCAAAAATCTTAATTTGGATTTGTATGTATCAAATAAGTCGTTGAAATTATACTAAGCTTTTGAACTACTACATTTTCCATTTAAACTTTTAAACTAGATTAATAAGATTCACTGAAACCTCAGCCTACTTCTGATATTATTGAACTGCATTCACAAAAACCGTTAGATACATCTCCCTAGCACTCCCGTTTTTAAGCATCCTTCTCACTTCAAATGTTTTTCACTTGGACCCATTTCGGAAATACCAAGATTTGAAAGACATGATAACATCAAACCAAAATTTGTGAATTATTTCTAATCATAATAAAAGACTGACATTTTTCCATTTCTGATTGAAATCCTTAGCAACAGACCAACCATACATTTGCGCTAATAACATTGTTAACATCACAATTAGTTCGATCGGCTCAGAAAGAGTTTTCTGAAAGACTTGAAGTTTTTAACAGCAAAAAATAATTCTTCAGGATATAGTAATTAATAAAACAGTAAATATAAATAATCGCCATAGGAAAAAGCAAAATAATAGAAAACAAAAGCGCCACAATACTCAGATATTATTGAGACATATAAAGTCAGCGTTATTTACTGAAACTTACAGTCGCTATTTCTGAAGGAGCTAAGGCAACATTACTGTTTATCAAATTTCCAAGAATAAGCATGTGAGCTCGATCCACGCCAAGATAACCGGCAACTTGAGATATACTGTAATTATCGATTGTTTTATCGCGTTCTGCAATTGACTTTCTTTAAAATAATATATAATATGTAACAGAAAAATGATTGAGATACGACCTAAGAAAGTTCGAGTACATGCAAGAATTACATCTTTGTCTAAGAAAGGGTGAAATTGAATAAGTATGAGAAAAATCAACAATATCGCTAATGCGTATAAAGCCCTTAATCTATATATTTTTTTTAATATGCTATCAATAACACATCGAATACCGTAAGAAATTCACATAAATAAGGTAATATGCAACGATAAAATGATTCCTCAAGAACTAAAAAAAGTTTTTTACCTTTCCAGACATGATCCATTAAAAGGACAATAAAGTCAAATACTGATATCTCCATTTTAGCCGCACCTTTTTTTATTCCCATTTTATCAATATGAAATACAGTGACAGCTTCGTAAATCTTTTTTTCATCGAAATCAAGAGTGATCTAGAATTAAAAATTTTCAATTTTCCTATAATTTAAAGTGAACCAAAGATCAAAGTTATCAACAAATTGAAGAGCTTATGCAGAAATATTTTAAGTGAATAAAAAATACACTGTAAATCGAAACTAACTTTTTCTTGAATATGATCAAAGAAATTAGTGTCTAATGTTGCAAATCCGTAAACAGTTCTCCGTGTTTTATATTCGGGCCCATTGTAGCGAAACGTTTTATATAAATTACATATCCTCTCCTCGCATCTAAAAATACACTAAATCAAATTTAAAAAAAAACATATCAGTTTAAAATGAACATGTTTTGAATTGTGTAACACAGAAATTTTGAGCATATATGAGCTCGAAATGTTATACATTTTGTGTACTGCAACATTAACGACAAAATTGATATAATCTTGATCTAAAATATGATTTTGAAGCATGCGATCTACATTTTATTAGTGCCTGTCAGATTTTTCTAAAAGTTATTATTTCATCCTAAATTAAATTATAATATTTCTGAAAAAAGGAACATAAGGCAAAAAAACTTACAATGTTTTTCTTTCATTACTTAAAAGGCTCAAATCTCGACTATCAAACACTGCAATTTCATCTGAATCATCGGATGACGTTTCGTCCACCAAAAAAGCATTTACATCAATATCTACGTCAACATTTTTTTCCTAAAGGATATTGATTTCATAAATAATAAAGCGCATTATTTCTTCCTATTTGAATAAATGAACAATCTAGCCAAAATCAAATGTTTGTCAAGATGTTTTTTTAAAATAAGATCAAATCCCAGTCACTATGTTAAACAAGCAAACATCCATGTGAAATTCAACATGTGACATAAATATCATCGCACAAATTTAATATCAGTAATGACAAACTGTACGATCCGTAGATGTAGAGATATGGACAATATCATCAGCTGGTTCCTCATCTTTATCCATTTCAACTCATCAAACAAGTCGCCTCCAAAATATCGAGAGCAGAACCCAATGCCAAACTTTGGAATCTTTTTCTTCAGGATCTGAGCAAAAAACCAATTTCAAACTAAAATTTAACTGAAATATATTTTAGCAACTAAACCGATCCGAAACACTACAGGTCCCACAACCCACTCTTTAGAAATTGGAAAAAAAAACTTCGTTATTTTCTTGTCGCATATTTTTCCAACGTCAATTTTTCATCCCTTAACTCCGAATGATCTTTTTCCATTTGGTCTAGTTCGAAATAATTCGAAACCTAACGAAACAACTGTTTTTTTCTGACAGCTAAGCACCATAAAGTAAAGAAGTAAAGTTTTATTTTCATATCATCTCGTTCATATTTAATGGATTGCAATAATAATGAAAGACAATCACTCTTAAAATTCCAAAATTCATCACACTTATTTTTCGACAACTGAGAGCTGAAAAAAATTCAAATAATTTGGATTTCAGCATTGAAATTGAAAAATAAGTGTGGTAGATTTTGCACTTCTCAAATCTGTTAATCACAAATAGCACATCATAAAATTTTAGAAGATAGAAATTGAGACATGAAAAGAGGTAAATTTACATGGAAATTCGCATAAAATGCACTTGTAAAAAGATTGCAAAAATAATAACAAATCTCCGTTCTGCAACAAAGAAATTACAATACCCGTACTATTATGTCGCCATTAACTGACACCGGATAGAATCAGAAATAAAACAGAGAAATATGAAATTTAGGATAGTAATAGATACCCAAAATAGGATGCAAAATGAGAAAATCATAACAAATCTCAAACTTTTTTTTCGCAAATCTTATCATTCATTTTTTTTTTCGGATTTTTAACATAAGAGTTCTGAAGAAACCGCGACTTCCGGTACTTTCTTCGACAGCCTGAAATGGCACAACGCCATCTCGGAATTTCTCTAAACTTGGTTTCTTTTTATCCTGAAAAGAAGTCCACTACTGATTTAATAATACATACAAGAACAAATATCGACAGTTCGAAATCTCGGAATGAAAATTACATGTTCTAGTCGACAAACTACGGGTGTACCAAAGGAAATTCTATTATCAGTGCTACCAACTGATTGTGATCCAACTTCTGCATCAGACATCGAAGTCTCAAGGTCAACAATCGGTGTGTTATGTTTCTAAAAATTAAATTCATGTCGAATATTTTGACTTCTTTATTTAATTTTAAATCCTAAAGTTTGCAAGTAAAAGTTAAACATAATAATATAGATATTTTTCACAAACAGAAATATTACTTGATTAAATTTTAAAGTGAAAAATTACCATATTTTTTTCTAATGAAGTCTCTTCTAATAATCGTGTAGACATTGCCAGACTTTCGTTTTGTTTATAATCAACCAAAACAATGTTGTCATCCGACTCTTAAAATTTCAGACAATAATTTGTTCAAAATGAAAACGAATGTTGAAGAAGTTACAATTAAACAAAAAAAATACTGGAAATCATGCCATTTTTTGATCGTTTACAATCAATTCGGTATTCATCCGTATACTTTTCTCGTTTTCTATTTCTTTCATGGGTATCATCAAGTAATTGCTGCAACAAAAGTAATTTAAAATTAAAAGCGAAATATTTTACTCTGCAAAATATAACTAATTTCGAATGCTCCATATGTTTAAAGAACATCAAACCATAATATTTACCGGATGCCTTTCCTTGACATATTCTCGAAGATACCGGACGTATTCATCAAATCTAGGTACTCGAAAACGTTCACGCTATAAAGAAAACATTATTTCCAGTGTTAGTCTTTATAATTAATAAGTTCACGAATCTTCCTTGCTAACATAACTTGCCTATACATAAAAATAAAAAAGTACTCGAAGAACTAATGTTGTATGAAAAGTGAATCTCCACTAAAGTGAAGTAAATTAATGAAATCGTACATCTCTAAGATATCGATTGTAGTAATTAAAACCGGGATAGGCAATCACTTTGTCGACAGAAACCGTAAGTCGTTCCCGTTTCTTATCTTTTTCTGAAGCATAAATAAAAAAATTATAAAAAATCGACACGAATCAGAGTGTTTGAGAACTCTTGTATTATTTTTTATTACTAGCAGGCCAAATAAAATAAGCACCTTGCACGATATGTGAAGTTCCCAATGTTTTATCATCGGTGTGAAATTCCAATAGTGACTCTTCATTACAATTTTGATCAAGAGCCTAAAAATATATAGTTCTGTTTTCAAGAACAAAATGATAAATCTCTAGCTTTTATCTACACACTTAATAATACGTAAAATGCACATGTTAATATTCTTGAATCTCTCAATGGTTTCAGAACACACTAACTTTAAGCTCCATGTAGAAAAAAATCACCAAAAACCGCGAAAAATATATAAAGTTGATTACTTCCGCTAAATATCCCGGTGGATAGCCATCAATGAAGCCTCTTCGACGCATTCGATAAATCCATTCCGGGATGTCATTTAGACCTATCCCCAAGGCTTTACGCAAAGCACTACTGATTTCCCCAGGCCTAAACATTATCACTTGTTCAATTCGTTGAAAAATGTTGACGGAAAATACACTTTTAAAGGGAAAAATTATTTAATTTACCTTGTATTACACATGCCTGATGACTCAGCATCACTCGCTGTGGTATAACGCTCTTGAGTTGAACGCTTACTATTAAAATGAGCAGCACGATTGGCGGCGATTCTCCGCTGATTTAAGGGAATATCACATTGTTGCAAGGTATGCTCACCAGCACAGTTAAAACAGCTTATTTTGAAGGTGCTGAAATTTCAAAAAATAATTTCTGCATCATAACACTTATAAATATAAGATGAATAATAGAGAAATAGAATAGTAAGTAGATGTGTTTTCAATTTGATAGTCGAGTTTTAGCAAAAATTATGCTCTTTGTGAACAAATAAGATGGAATTATCCATATTTCTATCATGAAATCAATCAATGAATCGCATACCAAATTTGTGTATGTAAGAAACAACCTTTCTTTTTTTTCTTCTGATGGCGATGGAAGTATCACATCATTCGTCAGAATTTTGGTTACATCAAAACCATCATAATTTCCTTTTGTACTCGAAGCTTCTATCAAAACTTTACGTTCTTCTTTCTCCAAATCATGTTCTGGTGTTGCAATCATGGTAACATTTTTTTTGTTCACTTCTTCCACCTCAACAATCTCCGCCCCTTCAGTATCCAGAACGAATAATTCACCATCATCGTTATCTCCGGCCTCAACTGATACCTGCAGCTGCAAATTTCAAAACTTAAATCATCAAGATACTAAAAATAAAATACATATTTGTCGCAGGAATCCGCGGACTAGAAGTGGTATGTTTAACAAAATTAGATTTAAATTGTAATAGATTTCTTACTATCTCGATGTCTCCATCGCCGTCCTCTTCTACTAAATCTACCAGCTCAATCACGGATTCGTTCGTCCGAAATTTCGCATTTTCATACCTGCGATACAACAGGACCTCATTAAACAAATCAATGTGACGATTTCGACTCGCATGTATTTAAATGATGACTTTATATTGCAAAATATAACAATTAGACACATATAAAACGAACTGAAAATTCTACTTCAAAATACGACTTAGGTACCATGTGAATTTTCAGGCTTAAAAAAACCAAAACAATGAGCATGAGAGTCCTAATGATAATCCGTCCATATCGTATTAAATTTCTTCGTGTAAAAATAGTGTAATAAACTATATGTAATTAAATTTAATACCATTCGGCCATAACGTAAGTGTAGAAACGGGGCTCATAATATCATAATATGACATTAGCAGAAACACGAGAAAAAAGAAGAATAAAATAAAGGACGAAGAACTAGAAATCATAAAATAATTGAAATATAAGTTTATATAAGATAAACAGAGTAAAAAATTTTTCGCAGGTTACCTATGCGTTCTCCTCATGGGAGTTCCCGTGGCGTTTACATAAGCAACTTCTAATCCCGGTGATGGCGTACGTGAACATTCACCTGGTTCACGTTCGTCACTAACGTCCATTCTTCGAAATCGCTAAAAGCAAACATAAAAATTTCTTTTGAAAATTTTAGAATCAACATCCCAAATACAGCCAAGCAAACAATCGAAAAGGTGCACCGCGGTATGGTACCCGCAAAATCAATCCGACTTGCAACCTGACCAGACTATCGTCCGCAAACATTCTGTTCGAGACCAATTATATAAATTATAAGAGCGATTTGATTTTAGAATTTTTTTTATTTTTCAAACTTAAATGTTAGATATTAAAAAGCGAATCTTTGCTTTGTTTTTCTCATTTTGCGCTAGTTGTAATATTTGAATTTAAAAGGACTTTTCTCTTTTACCTTGCTTAGTAATTTTGATAATGAAGTTTATTTTATAAGTGATCAATGATTCTCTATCATGACTTAATATTAATTCGATTTCTAACATCAAAACAGATGCTTCAAATTCTATTTCATTAGTGTACTTTGCTAACTGAATAAATCAACTTTTTAAACGTTCATTCAATGCATTTCGGACTTTTTAAGATTAATTGGCTATTATGAGTATAAGCTGGACTTATCATTCACTAAAGTCTAGTGAAACAATGATTTTCAAGGGAATGATGACCAAAAATGTTGATTTGAAGTGAAATAATCATTCGTACACAAATCTCGAGCAATTAAAAGGCTTATAAAGTTCCAGATAGATTGGAGGAGCTCAAACATAATGTTACAGTTCAAAGGCTTAATATTTTAGCTGGATGAAATTAATCGTAGTATGTAATCTTTATTACCATGTGTAGTTACAGCACCATTACGCTTATACATTTGAACTAAAGCAAATTATATCATTCTCAATAAATTTTGACATTGAAGATCGTTCCAACTGACCAAATTCATGGCGTCATAAAATCTGATAAACGTATCAGTGTGATCAATTGCTGTCACTTCTATAATCTGTACATTGGAATGATAAGATATATGATAGTAGGATCTGAATAATGTTCTCGAATCACTGAAACGAACCACATTTCGTGTCAATTTAGCATAAATTTTTTGGAAATTCTATGCTTTACACACAGTTTTTGCTCATTAAAATACATAATGCAATATTTGACATCAAAATCAATAAGAAAATGAAGATTTTAAAATTAAAAAAATTATAGTCAGATTTTGATTTTCAAATGATTTCACTGTTTGACACCGTCACCTTATTCCATAATTCAATACAGCTCATATTGCCACCGAAACAATGCCATCAACGTTCTGCGCTATTCCACATCTTTCCTAAAAATAAATGTCAGAAAAAACAATAATGATACAGACAAAAATTATAAATGAGAATTTGATTAAAAAGAAAAAAGTAAGATCTAATTGATTCAGGAATTAATTTTGTTTTAAATCGGAAATTTCACCCTAATTGAAGTAATTGGAGCTCGAAATACTATTTGAGACATCTTGTAATTGCCATCTGAACTTTTTACTCATTTGGCTATTTTATATACAATCCTTTTTGTTTTATCTTCTCAAACTTGCAATGCTTGAATTCAGCAATCCGTCTATTCGATATCGTTCGAAATTAGATTAGTACCAGAAAACTTTCATTTTAAGGGATGTCAACAACATATGTGAAATAAACATCATCGGATCCAGGAAATTTGAAGGCATTGACTTGAAAATAATAAGAAGTTTGTCCAGCATTTTTCATTCGGTTCATTTGTCCAGTTAATTTAGGCTCAACTGTGCATTTAAACTTCGATTTAGAATAAAAGATCATTTCCTCTTAAATTAATTTCTGATATATTATTTTTTTTACACTTTGAATAACTTTCATTATAAATTAATTTCATATAAGACCAAGTTGAAAATTCGAAATAAGTACCCATATTGATCAATAAGAATAATTTTTTCTAAGCCTTCTTTATCACTGACTGGCATAACAGGAATGAACAAGTAAACTGTAAGCACCACTTCCTGAAAAGTTCACTTTTTCGCATTAGTTCCAATGTTTCCACGTTACGGATAAACGACTGTTGACAAATTACTCCGTTCGTTCTTTTTAATTATACAAGTTTATAAAGAAAAAAAATCCATCTTAAAAGAAAAAGATGTTAATGAATATAATTTCATTAATTAATTTTATCGAGCCTGGTGAGCATATTGCAATAAATCATTTTATAAACTTATTAAAGGAGCCATCCTGAGGTTAAAGATAAATCTGATATCAGTTGAGGTGCCAGCTGACGAGTGAAGAGAAAGTGATGGTCAACAGATGCTTGAGCTTCCTTTTCATTTGTATGGAAATAAGATTTTCGACCAAATCAACAATCTGAAATCACAAAAATTCGAAATATCTCGACAACAATGAAAATATAACTTTTATATGAGAGGAAAAAATCAAAGGTTATCGACTGGTTGGTACCATCTATTAAAAGCAATTCAAAAACATTATTTAAATTTTTTTTTCTTAAAGAAACTAATAAACAATTGAAATGCTAACATTTCTTGTATTCCTGAATATTCTTGTACCACATTTGTTTGGTGGTATGACAAATTCGATTTCAAGAATCGGCGTATCATTTTTATTATGATAGATGCAATCCGGATTGATGTGATATTCAAAAGAGTAAATTTTATCACCAAAGAATCGGTTGAATTTGATATTTGCAGCAATTCCATCTTCTGTACAAATGGCGCTTGCAGCTAAAATGATTGCTATTAATGCTTACATAATGTCGAAATCATATTTCATAGTATTCAATCATTTATATATATTTACATATTTCAAATGAATTAATTTTCAACGAATTAATATAATATTGAAATGAAATACTTATTTTATCAATCTAAAAGGCAAAAATAACGTAAAGAATTATTAAGCAGACATATTCTAATTGAATAATATGTTAAATTAAAACTTACACTTTACTGTCGAACGATCAGAAAAAACATTATCAGTAGCAAAATTAAATTTCATCAAGCAAATCAGAAACAATGCAAGTAACATTAGTAATAATTTGAGAACATTTTAAGCCATCAAAGAATTCGAAAATTTAAAAATTTCCGATTTGAATTGCTTATTCTTTTTCCTTACCCTCTGCTCTGAATGGTGAAAATTTGAAATTTCAGCTGAAAATTTGATTACATTTTTTCAAATTAGTTGAAATTTGTTAGCACGAAGAAAATAGATTGCAGTCTGTCTGTCGTAATTACCAATCATTTTTTGTTGGATCAAGTGAGATAGAGTGAACTTGTCCATAATTGATCAAAATCACTCCGGTATGTCAAAATCCGTATTTATTGCTCATTTCCTTACATTTCATGATCGGATGGAAATCCTTACGAATAAAATAGATATGAAAATGATGTTGTTTGTTTTGAGGGGACAGATATATTGGACGGATGAATTAGGATGAATTAGGATGAGTACACTGACTCCAACTAATTGATGACTGCAACGGCCTGCGGACAACGAAACTATTATCTTTCATCAATTATACTATTTGTGTTGCTCTTCTTTTCTACATTTGCATGGATTTTTGAAAAATAAAGGGAAATAGTCATCTCTGATCGGATATATATATTTCAGTTTTTACTTTCATAAATTTAATTTTGGTTTTATCGTATATAATATCAAAAATCAAATTTTGATCGTATATCAAAAATCCATGTGCAAAATTGAGATGAAATAATTTGCCAACTAAGTTATTATGTATAAATAATCAAACTCTGGTTGGAGTGTCGCACTTAACTAATCTGTTTCGTTTTCTAATTACCTTACTTATATAGATAACAGATAACTTGCATCCTCTTACAATATGAATATTTATTCGTTTTTTCTTCAGTTAATTCAACAAACTTCATTTCATTGATTTAATGTATTATGCGTAAATCAAAGATTAACTATATCTCATAATCAGCAATCCAATATGCTTGTCAAATTTCATTTGCAAATTTTATTCAGTGTAAAAATAAAATTGTAAAATGTGGTAAACAAATATTGGATCACTTTTTTCATAAATCATTTATAAATGAAAAAAAATCAAAAAATTTTTTTGATTCCTTAAAAAATTTTATGCGATTAAAATGACCACAATATGATTCAAACGAAAATTTGTCACAAAAAATTGATATTATTTAACGTATATTTAATTCACACGAATATTATGCATTTTCCACCTGTTTGGATCTTGCACGTTTGCTTCAATTTAATATTTTTCAGACTTGATTTCGTTCATTCCTACCAAACTATCTCAAAATTTTTAAGTGATAATCATGATAACTGAAAGTGAGAGTTCGTGTCAAAAGTCATATAAAAATATTCAAATTTGTATCACGAAGATAAACGTTTTTTAAACAACGTAATAGTGAGTATTCCATCCGGACTGATTCTGGTTTCGCTGCATTCCGTCACTACATTATCCGGTATCACGTAACGCCGTTCGAATTGTTTCTTGAAGTGAAAAATTTGGATTTTGATAGAAGTAAAATTTATTTGCTGTTACAATTTGCAGTTATGGATTGAAGTACTTTAATTTTTTGATATTTGGAAACTTTAAAAAAGCATTTTGTATATTCCAATTAATTTACTTAAAACTGTCATAGTTTGTAAGTTTGTATAATCAGTAAAAATTCATATCCTTCGCGATATATTTTGTTTTCATCAGAGTAAGAAAATGCATTACCTTGCCATTATTGTCAATATGTACTGCGCCAATTTTCAACTCGTTGCCTTCGGTATTAACCTAAATTTTTATCAAATTTTGGAAGTTTCATGATATTTATGGATAAATCAAAAAAATCAACAACTAATTATTAGAAACTGAAGACGCCTATATTTATTTAGATAATTCAAATATTTTTTAACCTTTTTTTGCACTATCGTTTTATCAAAACATTAAATTTCCGTTAATAATTTTAAACAAACCGTTATTTCATCCGGTGTAAAATTTCGTGCATCAATTGATACAGAAAATTTTTCTGGATCATCGATTATCTAAAATACGATTTGAAAAAATAAGTATTAAAATGACTTAATTATCAAATTTTCGAGATAGTTAAATTAAATAAAGTCGAAAAGGAAGGAAAAAAAACGGTATAGAATTAAATTTATACGACTGAACGACTGATAGACACTATGCTAATTCAAGCAGAAATTTGTTGAATATTTCCAAATTAGATAATTTTTTAGCAAAGTATAAGTTTCTTCTAAAATTTCACCTCACCCACTTGACTGCTGAGAAGATCTTCATTTCTGAATCGTAAGATTCCGTATGGCAAACAGTTTGATAGACGCCAATGATCAGTGAACGTCGTCGGTACTGTACCACAAGGTGAGAATGTTCTCCGTGACATCCCGTCTTCTCTTCTCGTTTAATGATATTTCGTAGTGACTGATCTGATTAAAAATTTTGGAAAAAAATATTTTTATTTAGTAGCGATTTGCAGATAATTGCAAAATTGTTTACTACAACGTACGTGATGAAAACTGTGTAAACGAAAAAAGAAAAACATAAAGATCAAGAAATAAAATATTCTTTTTGCATCAAATTTTTTACATACAAGAAATTTGAAAATTTGAACAGATATTGAGAAGGAAGTGAAAATTACACTTTATGACCTTTCCAACAATTCTTGACCTTTCCACTTTATACGCTTAGTTTATTTGTCAGTCAATTTTGAAGGAATCATAATAAATTTGAGGGAGTATTTTTGAGAACAAAAAAGTACCGAGTTTTCTTATTCAGTAGTGAGTTAAAATAAATAAAAATGCTAATGGTTAAATTCTATCAGAGAACATTCAATAATTCGTAAAAATAAAAAATCAATATTTCTTATCGTTACACTATTTGTCAATAAGATGAGAGTTATTGATTGAAAGAAAAAAAATAAAATTCTGGGGAAGTGAACTTTCATCTCTCTCCTTCAACAAAAGCATCATTTCCACCAAAAAAGATTCTCAAGTATTCATCCTTTTTTACTTTTTTTCTCGTTTCAGATACATTGCTATCAATGAACAATGAAATAAGCAATAAAAAGTGTAAGTAAAACTTTTGTAAAAAATTTTATAAAAGAAGTAGAAAGAAGTGATCTCGTAAAATTTTCAGAAATAACAAATCTAAGGGGAATATCATTCAAAAGCGATAATTAAGCAAGTTCATGGCGCTTTTTCCTAAACTGTAAAATGTCAGAAATTCGCGGAATTATGTATATCACAGATGAAGGCACAAAGGGACTACTATCAATGAGCTATAATCTGAACAGATAAAAGCAACTTTTAAGTTTCTAAAATGATAAATGTAAATGAACTCCTACATTCTATCATTCTTCTGCAATTCGAATTGTTTTGAAATTTCGCTATAAATGCAGCAATACATTCTCTAATGTATAATTGAAATATATTTTTCATATGAGAATGGACAAGTTATAGAAAAACTTGATCGTCAGCACGGAGAATCAAAATTAATTTCTATTTGGAAGAGAATTAAAAATGGCTGAAATAAATCGATGTCTAAAATTCGGTTATGTTGGAAGAAAAGCAGGTTACATATAGTGTGTGTTGTGCTGTAGCATTTATGCATTTTATCCGTGATTACTGAACTGCAACCTTGACAAGTGTCAGACAATTATTATAAAACATTTTGTAAATTGGATTCAACTGGAAAATACATCAAAACAATTATCGTTTGAATATAATAAAATTTATGAACTTTTCACGCTTTTGCTTAGTCTAACATATGTAATTGAGAAAATAATTTAATTTAATTTGAATTTGTTAAAATGTTCAACTTTATATAATAAAATCAATAGTAACAAGAAATAATATCTGAGAGGACAGCCAAAAATCATAGTTCTTTCTCTCATCCTCTCTTTTCTTTCTGCAACTCTCATCAGCAGCAGCATATGAGCTTAAAATCCGGTTTTCCATATTTGATGCTGAATAATATTTACTCATATTCTTTTCATCGCATGCAAAAGAATTTACCAATCGATAGTTCATATTTAAATAAACTCTCCAAACTTAGTTTTATGAAAATTTGAATTTATCGTATTTCTTTTTTGCGATATATTTTGTTTTTCATAAATTGAATTTCATGTACAGTTAGTTTTCATATATCAATAAATTGGAATCTTAGTAAAATGCCGCAATAAAGAAATACGACAAATGAAATGTTAACAAATTTCAGGTTAAATATTCAAGAGTAACTTGTGCCCCTTAAACTCTTCAAAATATGTTTCACAAAAATCTTCCAGCCGTGGTGGTCTAAAACTTGCAGCATATTTTTTAATTTATTGATTGATAATTTCAAATTATTTACGTTTTTTATAATTTATTTTCATTTTAAGCAACAATTTGCCTATGTTTTCCATTTACAATCCAAAATTTATAAAGCGTGGATTTAGTCATATTATAATAACAACATCAGTAACATAATCGAATCGTAGCATCACTTTCCCACCGAAACAATGAAATTTTAGAACGTTTTGCTGAAATTTTTCACGATAAACACTTTTCAAAGTTCCAGAAAACCCAAATTTTTTCATTAATTTTTAAAAATTTGATACAATTCTGAAAATGCAATAAAATTTTATACAGTAATTTTTAACTTATTCGTCACACAACCATAACGAGATCAATCAATAAAGGTTTCGAATCAAAATTTTTGGGAATTAACGATAGAGATAGAATATTTAATTATCGTTGAGATCGCCAATCGGAGCATCAACGTTTCCAAAACGTTTTCCGAAACGTATCATCATATCTGCTGCACTCGGTACACGTTTCGCAACGTATGCACCATCACTTGGCTAAAATTTAATAAAAATTTTAGTAATTCTTCGTGAAATAAATTACATAAGTAACTTTTACAAAAGTTTTAGTTTTTTAAATTTTTTATTGAAACCATCCGTTTTACCAATAAAGTTTTAAGCGAAATGAGCTGTTTTAAGAGGTATTTCTGAAATATTTTACAATTTTATACAAAAATAGAATGAATTTCTAACACTCAAATAATATCTCAGTGGTTCGAAGCCACCGCGGAATAAAAATTGCCGTGCAAAATCGTTGTCTGAAAATAATTACTGCAGCGATTATTTTAAATATCTCATCAAATCACTGAAATATTCACTTGGAAACATTTCAGCTTGTAAATTTAGAAAGAAAATGAAAATATGATGATGCAGTAGGATAAGGAGGTCAAATTTATTTAAAGGACATCATGAAAAAAAACACTTCCTCTATCGATGATGGAAATTTGAAATTTATTAACTATCCGTTCAGCATTGTAAAAAAAATAATAAAATAAAGAAGAAATTACTTACCCTGCAATCGTTTACAATCAATGAAACAAAAATTGTTAATAACAAGCAATACTGCTACGATTACTACTTTAGACGCAGACATTGTTAAATACAACTGCCTGAAATTATTCTGTCAATAATTCTAAGACGAAATAATGGCGAGAGAATTATTGGAAATATTTAATTCATTTGACTGAGATATTTAGAAGATTCAAGAATGCTTAGAAGTTTATTATTACACATTTGTCAATGAGAAAGATATGAAGTATTAAAAGTAATGCCTCCTTTTTTGACATTTCACTTGAAATATCAGAACAAGGATGATGCCGAAAAGAGTAACGTGAATCGAATAACTGCGAACATTTAAGTAAGCAGCATCTTACTTTAGGGCGAAACAGCAAGCTAACTTTTGTAAGCACATAAAACTGTAATATATGATATTGACAATAAGCAAAACCTTCAAATAACTCATGAATTTAGAAAAAATCTACTGGAATGGGTGGATGAAAATAAAAAGCAAAAAATATTTCAAAAATTCATCACATCTTACTCTATTTAAATCGTAAAATTTCAAAAAAACATGAATTTCAATCTAATTCCTTCTCAAATGCAACTCAAGGAAGTTAGAGAAGCACAATAATGCTTCAATAGAACTTTTATTGAGTTACCGTGGAAATTCTTGAATTCTTTCACATTTGCTTTGAGGTTTAGAATGAATAAGTGATATGAAGGATTTTCCAATTTCTATTTTCATTTTATGCCATGTACAACTCATTCAAAATTGCTATCAAACAATTTGAATATCAAACAATAATCAAAATGAAACGAAAAAAGTGCAGATTAATGTGATGAATGTAATGGATGCTTTAAAAAAGGTGAGATATTTCATACATCGAATCTGAACATCTAAATTTTAATTGCAATTTCAAAAATATTTCGATTTTTTGCTGCCATTGATTGTTATTCCAATTTATCATCAAACATTTTTGCACTTTTTTTTAAAAAATAGGAATTATAACGTCAACGACTGGAGTTTTTTTCATTTTTTACATGTCTAAATAGCGTGTAAATCGTGATATTTATGGTTTTTTCCAAATCAGTTTGCATATTTGATAGGAAAGATTTGATTAGTTGAAAAAGTTACATGCTTAAAATATTTTAATTGCAACCATTCAAGTAATTTTTATATTTCGTCTTAATTAAAGCAAAGAAGTATTTTTTTAAATATTTCTATCTCTTTAATGAATGCTGTAATGAATGAATTGAAATTTTAAACATTAAAAAAAATAATTGTATGAGAGCAAAAGTAAATGGTTGAAAAGATTCCATATTTATCTGT